ATTTTTAATTTTTTTTCATTTTTTCATTTCATTTCAGAGGGTATGAAGGTGATACCTATACCTATAAATATGCAAACACACTATTTTTAGAGATTTGTGTTATAATTCTATATTGTTTTGAATAATTTTGATGTCTCTGTGCTAATAAATCACAGTATTTCAGGAAAAAAATATACTTTTATGAAAGGAACATAAGTTGCCACAAAATATTTCAATAAAGTTTGAGTAAAGCTACATGGAAAACATACAATAAAGAAAATATATTTATTTTCACAGGTTACTTTGTTGTGGCAAAAAGATTACCTATGGTTAAGAAAACTTTTAATGCAAACAGTTTTCAGCAGCTTGAATGTGTTATATTAGTGAATAAATTCCCTAACAGAATCGGATTTAACTGAGATTACAATCTGGGCCATCATATGCCCCAAAAACCAAACCCAGTGATGTTAATGAGAGACTTTCTACTGACGTCAATGAGCTTTTGACCAAGCACTAAAAATTTTCCAACTCCAATCAACAGAAATGCTCTTTTTTTTTTTTTTCCTTGCAACTCCCTCCATTTTTGTTCTGCACTTGGAAAATTCCTAGTTGCTAACACCGGACTTCAAAACTTAGTTGAAACCAAAGGCAAATTTCTTCACATATAGACTTGAGTCAACTGATTTTTTCCACCAATCTAAACAAGCAGAATTGTTAATTTCAGCATCATTTCAGATTTTATGTAAAATTCAAAACTATTATCACCAAGCGGCAATTTTTTTCCTACACACAAGGCTAAAAGAGGAAATATCTTGAAAGCTGCTTTCTCATTCACACTTGGAGACAGATAAGCCAAATATCATCCTTAGTTATAGTTCTTAAATCTACCTATGCCATCAGTCATGTACAGGAACAGCGTTTCTTCATTTTACCAGGAACTAGTTTCTTGTTTTAATCCAATGCAGATCCCAAAGACTTTCACTCCTGTTTCTCTGCGTGTCACACGTTGGTCACAGACACAAAGTACTTGTAAAAGTTGCCTAAACCTCAGGTATCACCGCTTCCATGTACATTTGGGGTACATGGAAGTGAGGTTTTTAATGCAAAAAACCAGTTTGTTATAAGAGAAGACGCATAAGAACACAAGGATTGAATGATTATGTAAAGTAATATAAGATGACTTTGAAATCACAAATTGCTAGGCTTCCAAACGAAACTCACAAGTGTTTTTAAAACTCTGCCTTGCTTTCTGGGGAAAACAAATTGTGAAGGGGACAATGCAGTAGTCTGTGAATAATGCATCATGAAGGGACTCTGAATACTCAATTCCTAGTTCTTTCAAATGCACTGTGAAACCAAGGAAAATATCACCTTTTTTCCCTTCATTTCAATTTCCTACCGGTAAAACAGGCACAAGTAATCTCTTATATTATAAAGGTCTTGGAATGATAAATTTAATAATAACAGAGACACCCTCCTACTACAATGTTGACTAAAAGCATTTATAACACCACAGTTAGACTTTATAGCTGGACAAGAAAGGAAAGGGAAGTGTACTACACAGTTTTTTTTTTAAAGATAGATTACATACTTAGATATACAATCAAGAAACCATCCTCCCCAACAAAATTTCTTTAGACTACTTGGTTAGGTGTGCATGCATGTAGTGTTTGCATATCACATGCATGGCTGTTTATACACTTGTGGGATTTAAGACTCAATCAAAACACATGTACAGTAGGGGAACAGCTGCAATCACATCTCAGTGGGCTAAATTACAGTACACCAGTGAATTATTCATTCAGAAGGATCTGCAATCACACATCCATTGCATGATTTGCAATCCAAGAGGAATCCCCTCGTTTCTGTACTGATGGTTGAGGGCACATCCCAGCTTCTGCTGCTGATGACACTTCAGCATGTATCCTCCAGCATACCAGCTCCAGAATCTGCTTTCCCACACACCCAGTATCCTCTTTTCTGTCATTCCCAACAACAATGTGAAACGTGCAACAGTTATCTTGGCATTCACTTCATGTCCCTCTCTTTTATTTTGTTCTTTCTTATGCCATTACTTGGCATGTAAAAAAGCTCTCAATGGGTCTGGATTTTTACTTCTAGCATGTAAAAAGAAAGGAAGGATACTCCCACCACATAAAATCTGCTCATGTCAATGGCTGCAGAAAGCCAAAAAACTTCGAGTAAAGAAAATCCTCTGATATGGCATACAAAAGTTTAACTATCCCCCTGAAAACACCCAGAGAAATCCTTAATGGCAAGAAAGATATGTCAGCAACAGTTTAAAATTAATCCCCTGAGAAGAAGTTCCCTCCCAACAAGTGAGACTTAGGAGGTTCTTTTTTTAAAAGCACAAATCCAATGACTTTCTTCAGTTTAACTGAGAGAAAAGCAACAGCACTGGTAAAGTGTTAAGAAACATCAATATCTACTACTGACGTTTTACAATTAAGTCCATCAAGCCACACACAAGACCCATCTCTCAGCCACCAAAACAGTGGACAAACACTTTTCCTGGAGAACAGTCTCTCTCAGCTGTGTAACCATTTCACCTGTTCAAGTTTGATTACATTCCAGCCTCTGGCACTGTTAATCCTGGTAACAGTTTTACGCAGGCAGCAGCTGCTTGGTGGATGGGGCTCTATTGTTCATTTGCATTGCGAATTGCTCTGCTAATGTGCACATCATTTCCTCCAACTCTGAGCTGGGATCATACTCACCAAACAAACACCTGATGCTGCTGCTTCTTGATTTCCCACTTCGGAAAGGCAGACAAGGACCAACACAGATCCTGATGAAACAAACGCTCTAGGCCCTTCTTCCCCCCTCCAAGCAATAGCAACAAAAAAGGGACCAGCCCACCTTTCGTGTCTTCTGCTTCTGCTCCAAGCTAGAATCCACAGGAAGACTTGTTCATTTACAAGAAAGTTGCCTCGATATTGCCAAACAGCTTTCCACCAATGGAGGAAATACCTCTTCCAAGGTTTAATGATAAAACAGGCTTCTGCCCTTTCAGGATGAGGTCAATAATCTTCCTTTGTTAATCTTGGGCAAGCTTTACTTAATCTAGCCCCCTTGTCACCTTTGTGATTGACAGGAAAAGTCATGTCACTGGACAATGGACTTGTCCTCACTGAGCAACATCTTTTTAAAGATTACACAATGTTACCCTTGCTCTCATAAAAAGTGCAAACATTGTGCTGGTAAAAGAAACTCCTCATTCCAGCTGTATCTTTCAAATTGTCTCCCTCTGTTTCCAGGGTCCAAGGGAGGACTATTTCAGTTCTACAGAGGAACATTTAAAGGCTTAATGAAAAGAAAACAGGTTGTACTCGGTGAGATTTCCAAAATATCTTTTCGTGCTCTAAATAAATCTCATCTTCTCCTTCCTCATCTAGAGATGCACATTATTCCTGTCTGCAATTAAACTCAGACACTCTGCTTCTGTGACATTAAAATTTTGTCCCAAACCAACCAAGAATCGAAGCAGAAGAAAACTGAGAACTAAGTCTGAAACTGTTAATTACCACCATATGGTATGCATGAAGTCTGCATCTGCAGAAAAAAAAAAAAAAAAAAAAAAAACCAAAACAAAAAAGCCCACAAAAAACCCCATGAGAATCAAGCTGCTGGTGTTGCAGCCAAAAACACCTGGAATAAAATACTTGTGTCTTTAAATCAAGCACGGATATCGTCTGATTTTAAGAAGCCTGTGATTCTAAAAGCAACCGAAAAGGTTCCTTTTTTCAAAGCTGGAATTTTGCCCATCCTTCACTCTTTTAGAATGTGTAAAGAAGACCAAAGGCAGGCTTTTTTTCTCTGCCTTCTACATTAGACACGTAGAACTATCTATTTTATAGTC